TGTTGATGCCATAGACAGTGATCTTGCGAAAGTAGAGGTGGCATGCGAAGCGCAGGAAGTTGGAGACGATGCGGTAGCCGTAGATGAGCACCATGGCGACGACGCCAGCGAGCAGCGCCAGGTTGAGCAGCATGGTCCGATGGCTCTAAGAACGGAGGCGGATGGTCAAAGTGAAAAGTGAAGAAAAATATGCGAGCCAAAAACAGAACGCATCCGGATACCACGCCAGACGTTGAACGTACACCATTGCCGTGACACGATACATACACTATTTGCGGTCGAGAAGCGCGACCGTGACGTGGACTACTAAGATCTCGGAATCTGAGAAGGAAGAAGACGCTTTCGACGTGCGAGGCGAGCTTCTCGACATCAAAAGTCGTTTGGTGCTGGCGGCGGATCGCGGCGGCAAGGTTCAAGTCGATAACGGCCTACAGCGGCGTCGGCGCCGTGACGTCATGTGTCGCCCCGTGTGCGTCATGACGCCGACACGACAGCGACAAGCGCAATCGACGACATTATTGTCCGACGCCGACGACGATGCTATGCAGACCAATAAGAGGTCGCGATGAGCGCGCGAGCAAGAATCGTACTCGTAGTGTTGATGCGCCAACGCGACAGCGCATGCCCTGTGGTCTGTCGACGCTTCGAGTAGCATCGCAGGCGTCCGTGGCCTCGACAACTTGGGTTTGGTGGCGACGTAGCCACGCGCCTTCCACCGTCGACGCGGGTCCTGTTGTCGCTGCAAAAGCGCCTGCAGCCTTGGGAGCGTCGAGAAACGGAAATGGTGTGAGATTGCACGCTATTTGATGGCATCCTAGACAGGGCGAGTGGATGCGACTCGCTGTTGACGCAGCAGGATCACTCGCTTGACGTGATCACGCAAGCTCGGGCACGTTCTCGCAAGCGTGCGCGGGCATAAACGTGGGTGCATGGATGACGAAGTCGCCGCACCAGCGTGCGGCCTCCGTCAGCAGCGACCCTGTCTTTTCGACTCTAGTAGGAACTAACGTGTTACACAGTTTACTGCACTGGTGGCGCCGCTTCCGCGGATCGTTCTGGGAGCCGGGAGGGGTTGTCGGTGGGCGTGGCGACGCCTTTCGGAGACGACGGTCGTGTGACGCGGCTACAACACTTGTGAGCACAGTATTAGTGTATGGCCGTGCAGGGCAACCTCGCCTCCTGATCAAAGTGGCAAAACCCACTCAAAACGATCTTGTCCTGCGACGACGTCTACGAGGCGCATCGTCGACGCTGTCTCCATCGAGGCTTTACCTGCGGAAGGTCGATGGTGCAGAGCCCGACGGTCGTGCCTCGGCGCCGCGACGGCCCACCTGGCGCTTGGTACTGCAGCGTCATTTCAATCGTAAGGAATCCTTGGTCCGCAATGAGCCTATCGAGCAGGCGCGGCTAGACACCACGTCATTAGCATCCATTGCGCGCTTGACAGTGCCGTACATTGCGCTGCAGGGGGACACCGAAAGGCCGAATCGTTAGCACGTCCGTATCGTGCGGGCAGCTGAGGAGGTCCGTCGGTCGTCCAAAGAGCCGCCGCAAGAACGGGTACTGAACAACACGGAGCTCGGGCG